GGCCAAAATGGACCCAGCCAGTAGTGAATTCCGAGCCTGGCAGGACCGCATTGAACAGGCTCTTGCCGCACATGAATCCACGCTGGGGGCCATACAAACTACAGTACATACCTTAACACATGACAATCAGACCCAGGGTGACACCGCGGCTGCTCTGAGCCCAGCTCCTCTCCTGCTACCGGGACACAACGAACCCCGAATACCGCCCCCGGAGCGTTACGGAGGCGAAAGCAGGGAGGGGCACTCATTCCTGGCCCAATGCGAAATCCAGTTTGAGACCCAGCCCTCGGCTTTTCCCACCGAACACTCCAAGGTAGCATATATACTATCATTACTGACGGATCGGGCACGCCAAAGGGGCACAGCTGAATGGGCGAACAGAACTGACTGCTGTGCCATGTTCCTTAGATTCGGAGCAGAGCTGGAGAGAATATTCGATCCACCTAGTCATGCCTCGGCTGCCGCTCCTTCGCTGCGTACTCTCGCAAGGAACCAGATCTGTGGTGGATTATGTCATTGATTTCCACACAGCCGCTGCCCACTCGGACTGGAATGAGCCTGCACTGGTAGATGCTTTCTACGGTGGGCTGTCTGACAAATTAAAAGACGCACTCACGGCATATGACAGACCCAGGCGCTTGAGTGCGCTCATGGACTTAGCTACCAGAATCAACGGTCGGTTCAGAGAAAGACAATACGAACACAGACAAAGCCATATGCCTCCTCCTGCTTTCACTCAAACACCGGCCGAACCACCAGAACCCATGCATGTGGGTCGCTCTCGACTCCACCCAGAAGAGAGAGAGCGCCGATTTAGGCATAATTTGTGTCTATACTGCGGGGAGCCTGGGCATCGGGTGCTGCAGTGTCCTTTAAAAGACAGAGGCTCAGCGGGACAGGGAGGATGTTGCTGAGCCGCACAATTATGTCTACTTCCGTCTCCCATCCTGTCACCACGGCCCAGTTGTCATATGGCGCCTGTTCTGTCCAAATTCCTGTCTTCATCAATTCAGGCTCGGACGCCAGTTTTATCGATCTGGAGTTCCTCCACCGTCATCAGATCCCCAGCCAGCCAGTGAGTACCCCACTCTTGATATATTCTCTCAACAATAAATTCCTGCAATGCGTCACGAGTCAGACACCACCATTAACCTTAACCATTGATAATCACAGAGAAACGACCACCTTCCTGGTCATGCCTTCGCCTCAGCGACACCGTATTTTTTGGGGCCCTTTCCTGTGTCCAAACGACTCGGACCCGCTGCGGTAAGGCTTCAGTTACCTCGATCACTCCATGTTCACCCGTCTTTTCATGTCTCCAGGATCAAGCCTGTCTGCTCCAGTCCCCTGGCTCCTCCTTTGGCTCCTCCTCCTCCTCCCTGTCTCTTCGATGGTGGTCCAGTCTACACGGTGCGCCATCTCTTGCGATCCTGACGCCGGGGCCGGGGTATCCAGTACCTGGTGGACTGGGAGGGCTACGGCCCGGAGGAACGCTCAGGGGACATGAAGTGGTCTCTCATCCGGGACTTCCATCGGGCCCATCCGGACCAACCCGGGGGCGGTCATCGGGCATCCAGGTCGGGCGGGTCGTAATCCTGTTCCCCCTGCTGGTCTTGTCTTCTGCCCTCTTTTGTCCTGCATGTTGATGGCCTGTTGTTAGCTGCTCCTGACTCAGAGAGCATAATGACTGCTACAGGCAGATTGTTAACACATTTAGCCAGGAATGGCTTCAAGGTCTCTAAGGAAAAGTTGCAGATAGGAAGGCCTAGAGTTGCTTTTTTAGGCCGTGTGGTGTCAGCGTCAGGCCTACACATAGCTGAGGCACAGAAGACAGACATCCTCTGTCATTTTAAGCCCACCACAGTCAGAGCAATGATGAAGTTTTTGGGACTGATTAATTTCAGTAAGAATTTTGTACCTGACTTTGCCAATTTGGTGGCACCTCTCCATGCCATGCTGACAGAAGCAGGTTACAAGAACTATGGTTCTGCTGTGGTGTGGACGGCACAAGCAGAAAAGGCTTTTGTGGACATCAAACAAGCTTTGTCACACGCATGCAGTTTACATGCACCTGATTACTCTCAAGCTTTCCACATGGATATGGTTTCAGACAATGTGCTGGAGAGTTCTGAAGTGGCCATCAATGAGTCCAGATCTAAATCCCATAGCGCACCTGTAGAGAGATCTCAGTACAGCAGCTAGGATTTGGCTTTTTTTTCCAGCTTTTTGTCTTGTTCAAATGCAAACAAAAGACATAAATATGAGAATAGCAAAAAATTTGGGATTGCAACATTTTTCTGGGAGACGTAGTGTATCTGACAGAGATACAGGGTGTCAATATTTTTGGCCATGTCTTGACTGTACATCATGTCATGTTTCTATTATTCTAGTATTCTATTATTTTCTATTTTGTGCCCTGAATGTAATTATCAGTGCAAGAGTTTACCCAAGTGATGGTAAAACTGAATTCCTTTGTACAATGCAGAAAATTCCCAAATTCTACATAATGTAATGGCCTTAGAACTACATTCCAAGGCCTTATAAATTCAAAATACAGAATCAAATATGGATCAAATTTAACTAACAACTTCTGTTAGGGCAGTGACACACCAAGCTGGCGGTTAGCCTTCGGCCACTGTCGAGCCATCAGTGAATGTCTGTCAGGGATTGTCTTCCCAATGTGTTCTGCACCGCTGGCACAAGTTGGACCACGTTGGCAGCTTTTCAGCCACTTTGGTGTGTTAAATTACCGGTGGACCTCGTCAGTGAGACAGAAACCACTCAGGGCAGAGAACAGCAGTGTCATTTGCAGAATGTACATGTTAGTTGGTCACTGGCTGTAGTCTGTGAGATGGGTTCAAGTGCCCCTTTTTCAACCCAGCTGTCTCAGATAAAGGTGACATGACGTGACGTGAAGCAGAGGTTGGCATTCATCACTACTAGTTCTTTCAAATCAACTCAACTTTATATAGCACTTTAAAAGCAACTTGTTGACCAGTACTTTACACCATCAGAAAATAACATATTATAGCTTACATAGAAAAGACACAAACAATATAATATACAAGGAGGTGCACCAAATTCTCTATGATCCAAAGATCAAAGAAATAATTTTTAAGTAAAGACTTAAATACTAATAGGTCCAGTACAGCTTTAACATTAATAGGCAGACTGTCCCATAGTTTGGTGGCCACAACAACAGAGCACGATCACCCCAGTGTTTATAATTAGTCCTTGGCACATCTAAAAGAAACTGATTAGAAGACCCATGGGATCTCAATGGTTTGTGCCACTGCAAGAGTTCACAAAGATAGGAAGGAGTCAGTCCATTTAAAGCCTTATAAACAAATAACAATTTAAAGAACCCATGACATACTTTTCCTTGTTTTTGACTTATCTGCAATTTTACAATGGTGAATTATTATCTTAAGCTCAAAAAATGAGGTGTACATACTGTATGTTCTAGTATTTCTATGCAGAAGCAACTTGATTTGCATGTCTTGCAAGGGAATTTTTCAACTGCACCTGGTTTTGTGGATATATTTTACCCCCTGCTGCTACACTGTGACCAGATGTGGTAGCTGAGATCTGATGCGAACTAAATTTATTCAAGCAAATTATCCCAATTCCAATAATTATTTATAATTCTTATTTTAGTCAGTCATTTTTGGCCACACAGTCATGTCAGGTCCGTCCCATCTCCCCTCTCAGCCCAGCTCCTCACTTTCCCTGTTCCGTCTATCTTCTGTCCACCTGTGTTCCCTTTCTCTCTGATTCACTAGTTTTTTATACCCCTCAAAATGTTCAGTCCTTTCTGGCTCTTACGTCATTCCTCATGTCCAACTCTTAAGCTTCCCATTTGGTTTTATTATTCTGAAAAATTACAGACTATTTAGAATTATGAGGGGTGCCAAGCTAATTTAGAGGTACTTAAAATTAAACATTAAATGGTTGAAAACAAGCAAAAAAGAGCAGACCATGGGGACTTTAAAATCAATTCTAAAACAATTTGTAAGCCAGTGAAGAAAAGGCAGAACAGGAGTTGTATGCACATATTTATGGGTGCTTGTCAGCAAACAAGCACCGGTGTAGTGGTTTAAGTTACATGTTAATATGGATTATGTAATAAAATAGAGTGTATGTGTGTTCACTTTTAAGTTCATGTGAGCTGGACAATGGGCATATGTAATTTGGCCAAGATGTTTCCTGTTTTTGGGTACATCTCAGGGTGTTGTCTTCTAAAACTGGAGACAAGAAACTAAGTTCGGAAATTGATGTAACAGCCTAAGAAAGCTGTGGATAAAAAGGGTAAGGCTGAAGGATGTAGGGGGGAGAAGAATGCTACTGTGACAGTCGAGCGTGTGCTTTTTCGGACCCAGGTCTGGGGTGGGGGAACAGACCCCTGACCAAGACTGACTGACTCTGTAACAATCTCCTTATTTAATACTGTATCTATTCCATTGCAGCAGGAGTGATTCTGTTCTCTGTTCCCTAACTTCCAGATTACCTATCTAACTACTACCCTGTTCAGAATAATTGTAATATTAAATGATTAAATTACTTCAGACCAATCATCCCAATTTAGTCTGTATCAGATTATAAATACTACACTGGCATTTTGGACCAGCTGAAGGCATGAAAGAGAAGACTGATTAATGAGTAAAGGGCACTGCAGTAGCCAAGTCTAGAACTAATCAAAGCATGAATAGCCACTTGCCACTCTTTCACGTTGGCTTGGTGTGTTTCTGTCCTTATGGGAAAGGTCTGTTGTCAGTTTTTGTGGGTGGGAAGCCAGTGAGGGTTCTCCTCGTCGGTTAGAGCACCTGCAATTTTACAGTGTTTTATCAGTTCCAAATAACTTGCTCATGTGGTTTGCTTGGCTTGATTATTTTACAACTGTGGTTAGGACTGAGCATCTTAGCTATAAAAATGTTGCACAAAATTGTCCTTTTAAAATACCTTTGAGAGTGTTCAATAATGCAATCAATGGATCAAAAATCTGCATATATCACGCTTTATTGCACAACAATAAGACAATCAAACACTATTATTGTACCCTGTCATTTGGCCATTTCAAGCATGTTAAAATTTACAGTTTAATTTCCTTTTATTCTGAAGGCCTTAAGTCACTTGGTGTGTGGTTCTCGGCTCCAGCTGGCCCTCTCTCTGGTGTGGAGCCTGAAGTGAGTGTTGAGGTGTGCAGACTGGTTGAAGCATTTCCCACAGACATGGCAGCGGAAGGGCTTCTCTCCAGTGTGGATGCGGTGGTGCCTCTTCAACATGCTGACTGTGGTGAAGCTCTTGCAGCACACCGTGCAGCAGTATGGCTTCTCTTTAGTGTGCCAGCGCATGTGGACTTCCAGCTGGCAGGCGAAGCTGAAGCCCTTACCACACTCTTTACAACTGTGCCACCTCTGGATGCTCTGGCTTGGGTGGCAGGAGCGAGTGGGAGGCAGCTTATGGGACCTCACATTCTTGATCTGCAGTGTGTGCGCATTCTGTTTTCCATTTGAGCGAAGTAGGCCTTTTACCTGCTGGTCTGTTATCCCAGTCCTGAGACTCTTTGCAGTGCTGGCACAAGAATCAGTCTGAGCCACTCTGCAGTTTGAATGAACAGCTACAGAGGAGGGAAATATGTTGGCTGGATGCTGTTCCCTGGTGTCTTCTCTGTCACTCTCTGCCTTCATCTCCTGGGATGTTAATGGAGCAGGGGAGACACTTTGTCTGCTGCACACAGTCTTGGCTGGTGGGGGATGAGACCTCTGTAGTGGCTCAACATGACTACAGCTTCCTTCCTCTGAGTTGCTTGCTTCATATGAACAATCTATTTGAATGTCTCCGAGTTCTGGTTCTTCTTTAACTTGCGGCTGCAGCTCCACGATGCTTCTCCAGTCCGACTCACTAGGCTGACTGTCTTCCTGGGGCTGGATGGAGTGAGGTTCTACAAGGTAACAAACATCACATTTCTAATCTGTATGTACACTGAATGCCAAAAACATTGTCACCCCTGCATAGCCGTCAGATAATGCACCACTTCTCCCAAAAAATTTTTGCAATCACAAATTCTTTGGTATTTTCATGTTTATTTCTTTTGTGTGCATTGGAACAACACAAAAAGCAGAGAAAAAATCTAAATATGATACATTCCACACAGAACCCCAAATACGGACTGGACAGAATAAGTGATACCTTTTCAAAATCATCAGAAATCATTGTATTTCCAGAATGTGATGCTCCTTTAATTTATAATGAAATTCACCTGTAGCAACCAACAGGTTCTGGCAATATAGAGATCACACTGGCAACCAGTTAAAATGGAGAAAAGTTAACTCAACCTTTGTGTCATGTCGACCACACTGAGCATGGAGAAAAGAAAGAAGAGCAAAGAACTGTCTGAAGATTTGAGAACCACAATAGTGTGTTGTACCCGGTACTTTTTACCATACTGACTCTGAGAGACGAGGCAGTCCAAGTAACTACAAAACAGTGCTGATTTATTCCGTGAACACAGGCAAAAATTAACATTACACGCTCAGGTATCTTGCACCTCCAACCTGCACGCAGGCAGAAGAAAGATGAAAGACCCCGAACCCAACAGGCCTGTCCATTATATCTCTTCGGTTGGGCTAGCCCCATACTACACAGAAACGTCAACCGCGACGTCTCTGGTGCCAGCTTTGCAGCTGGCCATAGCAGTAGTCAAAACATGAAGCAAATCAATGTGTGAATGTGTGTGTCTGTTGATTAAGTGGTGTGTAGCTAAAAACATTCTCACACGACCTCTAGTAACATGTCGTGATATTAAACATAAGAACATATTATGGCTAAGGCTACAGTTATACACGTCATAATAATAATATTAAACACCCTGTCTGCTGACAGTCATCAACTTTTCTCTCTAGTTATCCTTGACCAGATGTACCCTGTAGAAACTCATAAGCATGACTAAGCATTTAACAGTCTAACTAGACATCCTACAGTATCTCCACTAAACATTTGGTTGTTCCTGTGTTCAACACTGTCAAGACGTTTACAGCCCATAACACTGTAGCTAATCTCCCTGGACGTGGATGAAAGAGAAACACAGATGACAGATTGCAACGAAGGATTGTTGGAATGGTGGATAAAGAACCTCGATCAACTTCCAAACAAATTCATGCTGACCTGCAGGCACAGGGTGCAACAGTGTCAGCTCGCACTATCAGTCGCCATCTGAATGACAAGGGACGCTATGGTAGGAGAATGGGAGAATGGCCTGTGGACAGATGAGACTAAAATAGAGCTTTTTGGTTGAGAACATCATTCTACTGTTTTCAGAAAACAAAATGAGACCGTCAAAGAAAAGAGCACTGTCCCTACAGTCAAACACAGTGGAGGTTCACTGATGTTTTGGGGTTGCTTTGCTGATTTCAGTTACTTTGTCCAAAAAGTGTGCTACCATATATTTTTTCCTCTGCTTTTTTGTGCTGTTCCAATGCAAACAAAAGAAATAAACATAAGAACAGCAAATAATTTGTGACTGCAGCAATTTTCTGGGAGAAGCAGTGTGTTATCTGACAGAAATGCAGGGGTGCCAATACTTTTGGCCATGACTATATGTATACAGTATGTGCAAAAGTCTTAAGTCAATCAACATGATCATCTTACATCTTATTCTGTCCAGTCCATATTTTGGGTTCTGTGTGGAATGTATCAGATTTGGCTTTTTTCTCTGCTTTTTTGTGTTGTAAATTAATAGATCTTACGGCTAGATTTAATTGGCTGCTACTCATGTCAGTTTTACTTTGGGTGGCAGCTTTTCCTAAACTACAACTTAACCTGACACCACCTTTCCTCTGGAAAAAACATACCATAACCTGGCTCTGTAACTTGACCTGCAGTCTGTATCTGCTTAGGTCTATATTATCCAGCTGCTCTTCTGCTTCTCTCAGCATTCCTCACATCTTTTGGTTATGACAGATATATTGTGGGAAAGAAAGGTGTCATCTACCCACAAATCTATTAAAAATTTTGCTCTTGTTCACTGAAATCAATAACAGAGCTGTGAGGCCCCTTCTCTAGCAGATATTTTTACTATTATTACAATGTTACTGATTCAGTGAGTTCATAGTCAGCTTGTACTCACTAAAATAACTGAGAAATTATGTAGGCTATGACACGCGTTGAGTGTCCTGGTATTAGCTATACATAAATTGACCAATAAGCAAAGCGTCATTAAAACTCTATATTTTCAATGGGATTTGGCGTACATCGCTTAACGGAACTCAACGGCCTGCAGCTGCTGCTCCTCACCTGGCTGCAGCAGGAGTCTTTGCACGGCTACACTGAGGAGCCGTCGAAGCCGCTCGTTCTCCTCTTTGGAGCGCAGGATTTCGCTTTGATACTCCACCACCGTGTCTTTAACGGCGCGGAAAATCTCCTCAGCGGCCGCTGTCAACCTGTCGTTCAGGAACACGTTCAACAGCTCCAGCTTGGTCATGTTTTCTACCGCTGCTGTCTCTAGAGGTGAACGTCGTCTGTTTACATCCACCAACCTGGAAGTAGAAGCATACCGGCTTGAGTGTGCTGTCACTCTCGGGGGGAACTCTGGTTGTTTATACCGCCACCTGCTGAGCGGGGGACTACACAGCACCACCGCTCAGTCAAAGACTGCTGGATAAAAATGCGCTTTACCCATTACCCATAAACATTTCTGTCTTTCACACAGGGGCATATCAAGCTTTTTAAAAGTGTGGGGGATGAGGTTTGTCTGGGGTGGGGGTATCTGAGCAAGACTGACACTAAATGTGTTTTACACACCTCTCTTATTTATGACATATAGAGTTTACCTACCTCTAACTAGAGTTTATGCACCAAATTCAACCAGGATATTCAATATTCTGCTTGCTATCATTATCAGCACAATGCAGTTATAACTTAGTGTTTCTGAATTACACTGCATTATCTACATTTTATCCCCAACCCTGATCAACACTGTAAGAGCCATTTATGCCACTCACTCATATTATTACAATTTACGCACCTCTTTTTTTTCAGCACACCCCTGATTCTTAAGTTGAAGAAATAAATTCTCTGTATTAGGTTATTCTGAAGAAAAAGGTCAGCTACTAATTGAAACTTTTGTGTAAATTGATTTAAATTTTCATTTAAATAATAAACTGATGAAGTTTAATGCTTAAAGCATTGTTTACAGTTGGTTACAATTGCACAAAAATGTTGGATATTGCCAAGCTGGCATGAAAACCGACTGGCCTGAACATTTAACATTGAATATATGAACATTTGAACCTTCACTCAGTTCAACTAAAAGAACCAAAAGTGCTCTTTCTGTTTTCCTTACAAGAGACAAACTGATCAGCAATCATTTTTCTGTTCACCCTATCCAGCCTGTCTTTATGTTCATGGTATACAGCAACACTGTTGAGGGGTCATGGGGCTCACCTTCATCCTAATCATCCTTAACATTTAAAGAGGAACCACACTCTAAAGCGTTATTAAAATAAAGCTTGACCATTGACTCAGTCTTCATAATACCAAATGTGGTTGCACATATTTGGGTGCACCACACATACAGTATATATACATACAGCTGTACAGTATATGCCCTGAGTTTTGGAAGTAAAAAGAAGTAAATATAACCCCTGCAGTGAATACATATTAAATGGATCCCTTCTTTAAATGTTTGTTTGTTCATACATCACTGCAATAGTACAGGTAAATTCACAAATTCAAAAATAGAAACAAATTAAACTTATTACGGCATGTACAAACGTTTGGACACCCTACTCTGTCTGCACTTGTTAATAGCCCAGAATATTGGTTGGCCAGTGACTGGACCTTCCAGACACAGGTGTCTTTATACTATGGGGACAACTGTGGTTCAGTGGGTAGAGCAGTTGTCTCCCAACCGGATGGTTGGTGGTTTGAATCACAGTGCCTGCAGTCCACATGTCGAAGTGTCCTTGGGCAAGTCACTGAACCCCCCAAGTTGCCATCGGTGTGAGTTGGCACCACAGATGGCTGCCTCGGTTCTGTACTGGAAACAAATTCTGTGTGTGTAACATACTTGTCCAAATAAAGGTGATTATCATTATTATCCTAGTCACTTGAGACACATTCACTGCACTCTGGTGATCCCCATTTCATTGTGAGACTACTAACATCAATTGGCTGGACCTCTGTTGAATTAGGTCATTCATTTTAAAGGGGGCGAATATTTATGCAACCACTTATTTCCCATTACATTTTGACATTATTTTGTAGAAACCTGCTTTCACAGTTTTTTGTAATTTCTTTTGTCAAAAAAGCCAAGTTATATTGACCATGATTGATTTATAAAATAAAAGGATAAAACATCCAAGGGGGTGAATAGGCACTGTAGTTCAGTCACTACACAAATATGAATACAGGTGAACTACAAGCAAGCTACAGTACTGCAAAATGTAGTTAAACTACTAGTTTAATTACATGTAGCTCACTCCTCCCCAACACTGTTTATAATTCATTAGCAATGTATATGTAATTAACAAATACACATTATTAACTGAATAAGTTCCACTGACTTATTTTCTTGTATACAGCAATACCTAATGTTGGTCCAACACTGGCACAAAATATCGTCTGACGTCTATTTTAAATGGTCAATTACTGATCCAACAGGTATTAAAGCATTTTTATTTACACAGTATTATGTACAAGTCACTCTGCACAGCTGGTTTGTGTAAAAGGTTCAGGGCAGAAACACATGACACAGACCACACATCAACTAATGCCAGCACAAAAGAAAAACTACTAAACACAGCTTTTTTTGTACTGAAATACAGTGTTTGTCATCCATATAAAGAACATAAAAAACATCAGAGTCCCTGAGGTGTTCATTAACAAAGACCCGAGTGAACTTAGACATTTATTACAGACTAGGTATTTCAAAGTCTGTCCACTGAATAAAAGAAACGTTTAAAAAAATACATATTTCAGTCAAACATTATTCAAACAACTAAGGGACACTCACAGGCAGAAGTTGTACTCTGTAAAATCTGAACTTAAAATCTATAAACCATATACACCTGGTAGACAAAACAATCATATCCTGAACACAACTGATGGATTTTAAACAATTCATTGTAACCTCCTCTGGGGTTCTGGATTTGCTTAATGCTGGTACATTTAAATGTCATAATCTGGGAACTATCTGAGCAACAGGTCTCATTCACTCATTCAGCCATTATCTTTACCGCTTATTCCTGAAAAGGGTCTCAGTGGGCTGGAGCCAATCCTAGCTGACATTGGGTGAGAGATGGGGTCCACCCTGGACAGGTTACCACTCATACATTTACAAACAAGTAGTTGGAGGCAGTCTACTGTTAAGTGCAGCAGAATTCATTATTCCTGTGTTCAGCGCGCTCTTCCCTTTGCATACACAGTACACAAATGTGTCTTCTCTCTAAAATGATGCATTTATCATCATCCAGGAATCCTAACAAACTCAAGTGTTCTTGACAACATCTCTCAGCAGGGGAGCCTTTTTCAGTTTCTCTTCTCATTGGAACAATGATCATCAAAAGACATTAAAAAAAATAAAGCCCTGAGGAATAATACCTGGGCCTTGAGATAATCATAAGGGCAGGAAATTGAACAGGATTGTATGACAGAAGATGCCTAAAATGTAAAGAACAAAAAATATGAACAATAAGCTTTCAACTAGTTGACCATTAAAGAAAAAAAGTTCTTAAACCCTGCATGGCACATATTGCGATGGTCTTCATTTCTTGTAAATACAGTCACAAGATAAGGGTGTGAGCAAGAAACCAGGCAACATGTACTGTGCTCAGCAGAGCGCTCAGCTGTCAATCATCTCTGACAGTTCCTGCAGCAGGTCATCCTCTGCGATGCCGGGATCCATGTCTTCCTCCAGATGGTCATCTGTGAACTCGTTGATCAGCTCCTCAAAGTCGTCCACACCCGAGATGGAGAAAGCAGCGCTGGACGTGGAGGTAGTGCGGCACACAACTGCGCTTGGTCTCCGTGTCTTGGGCTGATTGGTACTCCTCAGGACTGGGCTGACATGTACAAAGAGGTCTGTTATTTAGTTACTGACTGATGCCGCATTCATGTCATGCAAAAAAAAAAAAAAAAAAAAAAAAACACCAGAACAACTTCCATCAATTTTCACAGGGACTGCCTCTTAAAAAATGGCCAAGTACTTTTTACAACGTATAACTAAATATGCAATATTTGGTCTCACTACAAATTGAACAAATGGGAGATGATGCTGTGTAAAAACATTGGTAATTTTTTTAAGTTAAGACACCATTAAACACTGATATTTAATGGGTGTGTGAATGAGGATCAGTGGGTAGAGCAAGTCGTCTCCCAGCCAGAGGGATAGAGGTTCAAATCTCGGTGCCTGCAATCCACGTGATGAAGTAAGTGTCCTTGGGCAAGATACTGAACCCCCACGTTGCCCCCAATGGTTAGAGCCATCGGTTGAGTTGGCACCACAAATGGCTGCCTCGGTTCTGTACCGGCAACAAATTCCTTGTGTGTAACATACTTCGCCAAATAAAGGTGATTATTATGTTTCTAAAGGGCTAATCAGACTTTGCGAATGCCCTCAGGCGTCATATGGACACGAACGAGGGACATGTCCACTTTCTGTTGAGTGGACAGCCCATACAGATAAATGTTTGGCCTGTGCGGACCCTCACAGATCCTGGAAGATGATGAATATTACGTCAGTAGACTTTTGAGGGGACAGACAATATAATTTGCCCTTGAGAAGAAAGGCTACTGGGATTTGTTTGTTTGTGTGTGTGTGTGTGTGTGTGTGTGTGTGTGTGTAAACGTAGAGCCAAGCATCTCAAAGACTCAAGGACAAAGAGGCACTAATCCTGGCAGCACAGGAATAGGCTCTAAGTACAAGATCAGCAGAGGCAGGGGTCTACCATACCAGGCAGGACCCCAGCTGCAGGCTGTGCAAAGATGCCCCTGAGGCAATCCAGCACATAACAGCGGGGTGCAAGATGCTAGCAGGTAGGGCATACATGGAAC